CTGCTCCTATGATGCTGCTTGGCCTGCTGTGTTCATCCAGCTCTGCACCTTGTTGTCTCAGATTTTCCAGCATCTGCAGTTCCTACTATCTCTCCAATGCCATAAACAATAGTCACTTCCAATGCCTCAGGCCTAATTGATCCAGTACAATTGGTGTTACACCTCTTGACAACCAACATTTACAGGGCCGAAAGAAACTCAGTATCTGCTGATCATGTACAAATCCATGACAACCCCTATCATTTCAGTTGGACTGGACTGGTAGTTTTTTCCCAACATGTTACAATTCTGTATTTTTTTTTTAAAACTGTTATCCAGCCCCTGTCAGTATCAACCAGAATGGTGGCTTGGCTGGGCCCTGTCAAAATCAACCGGCATTTTTATATCCTCACCAGCAGATACACAGACTTAACAGACCTATTGTTTTTCAAAAACTGAAGGTTCAGGTTTCGGCCAGTCATTGTTTAGGAGTTGTTTTAAAAAGTTCTAAGTAAGGACTGCTTTGCATTTACATGGTGCCTTTTCCTACCATGGGACATCCTAAAAAAAACCCTTCATAGTCAATAAGGTGTTCAAATGTAGAAAATGCAGCAGTTAATTGGTGCATAATGAGATCCCAAAGCCAGAGTATAACAATGACCAGGGTTTCCATGTATTGTTTTTAAACTAGTGCTTATTGAGGCATCGACATTCATCAGAACTTATGATCTAGCGCTACATGACCCCCAGGTTATATATCCTGAAGATACAATAAAATTGAAGAAGATCAATGTTGACAGTTTGCATTCCCAGCAGGACTCTGAGTGAACCATTTGTTAATGGCACTGTTTGTTTATCTATCTTAACAGTCTTTCTCATGCAGAGTACAGGAAGACAATTCAATTGTCCAGGTCATGACTGCTTCCTGCTTAGAGGCAACAATGATGCCAAATGAGCTACAAAAACCCAAATGGTTGGAGCATTTATTTTCTTGGTGTTATGCCCTTCCACTGTGCGTTTTTATTAATGGGTCATTTAAGCTGCTGATGTAAATATTAATTTCCCTGATAGATGAGAAACCTGCCCCAGAGGGTGCAGAAAAGGTTTGAGCTATAGGGAGAGACTTAATAGGCTGGGTCTATTTTCCCTGGAGCGTCAGAGGCTGAGGGGTGACCTTACAGAGGTTTATAAAATCATAAGGGACAAGGATAGGGTGAATAGACAAGGTATTTTTCCTAGGATGGGAAAAACTAGACGGCATAGGTTTAAGGTGAGAGGGGAAAGATTTAAAAAAGGAAACATGAGGGGTAACTTTTACATGCCGAAGGTGGTGTGTGTTTGGAATGAGCTGCCAGAGGAAGTGGTGGAGGCTGGTACAATTACAACATTTAAAAGGCATCTGGGTGGGTGTATGAATAGGAAGGGGTTAGAGGGATATGGGCCAAATGCTGGAAAATGGGATGTGAGGTCAGCAAAGTCAAGTTGGATCGAAGGGTCTGTTTCCATGTTGTATGACTCTAAGACATTCACTTACTTCAGGCTCTTCAGTGATCATTAGTCTGACTAGAGGATAAGTGAGGATGTCCTTTGCCAGCTCTCAAGACTGTTGCATCTACCCTCTCCTCCACCTGGAAAACTTTGCTTGGGGACTTTAGATCCATATTGTTCAAACATATATTACTGATCCTTATCTGTGCCATTTCTTCCCATTTCCTTACCTCTGGCTGGTTTCCTGTAATGTTACACACATAGCACAAACCAGAGGAAAAAACAGAGGAAATGCATGAAAGCAGCGAAATAAACAAGTTACACACTGTTCAGCTAAGGGTAGATAAGAAGCTAAAACTTTCCTTGGCTAGTCTTACCTCCAACTCTATCACAGATTGCCCCTGAATTTAACATGTTGCTCCATCGACAAAAGCATCCTGCTAAATTTCTAACTCAATGATGGTAACAACATGTAGGCTTTTATATTGCACATTTGTAAACAGACAATGGAATGAGCACAGTAGATTATTTAATGCTGCCCCTGTTATACCAGCTGTATGGGAATAGCCATGTTATACTAAAACCACAATATACAGAAATCCACCAGAGAAAAAGAGTAAATTATACAGATTGTAAGAAAAAAAATATTCAATCCATCAAGGTTCTTGCATCTTAAGTCCATGTACTTTGGAGGAATTATTCAATTATAGGAATTAGAATACAGATTCAACAAGTCCATGTTAATGTTTATCTTCCTTTCAGTCTTCCTAATCCCATGATCTTCCTTGTTCCCAGTCCCTTTAAATAATAATGTCTTACTCTCATCTCTTTGACAATTTCCCCTCCTTTTCATTTCTTCTAACCTTTTTTTCTTCCTTTCTTAAGATCCTTAGATCCTGCTTCCTAGGTAACACTCTTCCCACAGTTAACAATTGTGACTCAAGGCTCACAGTCTTCCAGAGCAGGCATTTACATACACAATGTTCCCCACTCTATTCTATTTCAGCCACACAGAGAGTTGGGCGTTTTGTTTTAATTTGTCAAATATTGAAAACAAGCATATTGCATGGCTACCCAGCATCTCCAATTCAGACATTGTCAATCTTATTGTTCAAAAGTCATTCACCTCCTGATTACTGAAAATAAATTTTGTCTTTCAGACCAGAAAATGTACTTCATAATTTTCCACAGCCTTGAGTTTATAGGTTTCAGGCATTGGCCATTCAGCTGATTGAGCTTGCCCTGCCCAATCAAGGTGATCATGGCAGATGGAAATCCCTTTAAAGATTCAGCCCACTTTATCCCATCCAGCTCTGTCGTCTCATCCCTCCTGAGCTCCAAATCTGGTTCTCCTTTCGAGAATGGCTGGCAGAGATTTCATCTGTTTTTCCCCTTACACTAAAATCCCTTTCCTAGGCTCTACACCCTTAAACTTATCTTTCTCAGCTTCTCAAAACCTATGTCTTCAACCATACCTTTGATCACCTTCCCCAATCACCTTCACTCTCTTAGGAAAGAGTCTCCATTACCTCCTCTTCTGGCTTGGCTAAAATAGTTTGGGCCATCACAGGCAGGATGAATTATTCTAAGTCTCAAATTGTAACAACAATGGAGCTTTGGCTTTAACTGCAGAACCATTCTGGACTAGGTACAAACTGTCTAAACAACAATTGCTCTCGCAAACAGTTTTTGAGGCCTGTTCTTTTTCCTTGCATGACTAAATTTTTAACCACTGTACCAATGGAAGGAGCTGAAAGCTCACTACTTTCTCATTAATGAGGAAGTCACTACTGGAAACACACAAGATGGCCATTCTGCCTATCATGTCTGTACTAGGTCTTGACTGCAGCAACAAAAAAAAAATCAATTCCCCCTGCCATGCTCTCCCTATAGCCCTGCACCATCATGTTAAACATCAATTCAGTCCTTCCCTCAAGAGTGAAATTGTCCCAGATTTAACTGGGTCCTCTTTGTACCACACACATACTTCCACATCAATGCTGAGTCGACGCTAAAACAGGCGGTCTGTGGAGATTGTGTAACCAATACAACGATGAATATCGTTACAAAGATTACTCACCTGAGCCACATTAATGAACTTGGTGATGACCTCTGCCCTTTGCACAGGAGTCTGCTTGCTTAGAACCATCAACTGGAGCCACTGGGAGATGCCGTTAAACAGTGCGATAGACCTCTCAAGTGTTGGGTTATCCATTAGACAGCGATGTGTAACATAACTTTGATAATCTGTAAACTGCAAGAGATCACCGTTTCAAGAGTTAATTAAGTGTCCAGAATTTTCTTATTGATTTTTCAAAACTTTTCTTTAGTTTGATTGTTGATTGTTGATGCCCTGTTCTACATACAGGCCTTTGCCCTACTCCTTCGATTTGCCAATGTAATAATGAATGCCTGTCCAATCTGATTCAGGATTAGATTGATTTGGAAGAGCAACATCTCTACTTTGTGGATATGATTTTTTTTTTCCCACAGAATCCCATAACAAGGTCCATTCAGAAGAATAGTCACTGGTCTTGAAATGTTAACTCTGTTTTCTCTCCATGGATGCTGCCAGACCTGCTGAGTTTCTCCAGCAATTTTTGCTTTTGCTTATTCTATTTATTTCATTGTAATAAGATGTTACAAAGCTGATGATGCTTCCTCCGTTTGCAAACTAAACAACACTATCAGTCTAGGATTATTAGACTGGGTAAAACTGAGCAACTATAGGCCAAAGCACTGGATGTGAACAACAATAAGTCCATTTGTGGTTTAGATGTAGAAAACACTTGAGCTGCACTTACTGCCTCTGTGGGAAAAAAAAAGCACTGAGTTGCGAGTACAACCTGAAACATCAAGAAGATTCAGTGAAACACTTTAGTGCTACAGTTAAACCTGCTGCCATTTCCTAATGTCACATGACATGGTTGGTGGGATTGTTTCATCATGAGAAAGGACCTTTCAGTTGTTGACGCGTCGCACTGACCCTGCAGGACAACGTACATTGTCCATCATCTTTCAGTGTTAAATGCCTTGTGGATTATAGTTTGTGGTCTTCCATGAGCTAGGCTCCATCTCATACAACTGCTGAATCTTTAGGCAATGTTACATTAATTATATCCTATATACAGTCAACATAAGTACAGAAAGCATGAGTTTTAAAGAAAACATGAATTATTAAGTGGAAATTGAGCTTTCCTTGTAAGTTTACAGGTGCTTAATTTTATTAAATAATTGATCACAGGATGTGGCCATTGCTGGATGTTTATTGTCCATCCTTAGTGGCCCAAGTTAAGGGCAGATAAGAGTCAACCACATTGCTGTGGATCTAGAGTCACATGCAGGCCAGTGCAGGTAAGGGCAGCAGGTTTGCTTCCCTAAAGGACATTAGTGAATCAGATAGCTTTCTATGAAAATCAGCAATGGTCACATCGTCACTATTAGATTGATTTCTCACTGGAGGTTTTTATTGAATTCAAATGTCACCATCTGTTGTGGCAGGATTCAATCCCATACCCTCAGAACATGAGATAGTAGGAACTGCAGATGCTGGAGAATCTGAGATAACAAGGTGTAGAGCTGGACGAACACAGCAGGCCAAGCAGCATCAGAGGAGCAGGAAGGCTGACGTTTCGGGCCTAGACCCTTTTTCAGAGATGTCAAAACAGAAATGTCCCTCAGAACATGAGCCTGGGATTCTGGATTGCTAATCCAGTGACGTTATCAAAATGCCACCGTCCCTCGTTTATTTTCTGCATTTTGTGATAATTTTACATAGTACACATCATTCCCTCCTCACAGGGTTAATGTGGACCCATCCAGACATAAACTTCTAACTGTGCAGATCGGCAAACAACTGGCATGGGCTGGTGGGCAGGAGACTAGGTTGGTTCACTCAATGGCCTTCTCATTCCCTCTGGAGTTGAGCCTCCGTACCACACCCTTCCCTGATGGAGACAGACCAGCTCACCAAACCGGGGAAATATGAACAAAGCCTCTCCCCTCCAGTCCAGTACAGCCAAACCCATGGCTTATCAACTAGTTGCAGAGCAGGTGAAGAAACAGAAACCCCAGGCAACTGAAACTTGTTTTTCTGGTAAAGAGAGTCACAGTTGAAAGGAGGCACACAAATTCTCACAATGACCCAACAAGGCAATCAGCATTGATACAATTAAGGGGAAGCAAGAGGTAAACGAGAAGGACAGAGACAGAAAGTTATGTTGAAATAAAAACAGAAAATGCTGGAGAAACTCAGCAGGACTGGCAGCACGTGCGCAAAGAGAAACAGAGTTAATATTGAAACCAGTGTACCTCTTCTTCAGAACTCTGAATTCATGTTCTCAACAAGAGTCATTGCAGACTCGAGACATTAATTCTGTTTTTCTCTCCACCAATGCAGCCAGACCTGCTGAGTTCCTCCAGCTTTTTCTGTTTTCCTTTCAGATTGTCAACATCTGCAGTATTTTGCTTTTAGATTCTTCATGCTTGATGGATGGCATTTTTTTTTGCAGTCATGTGAGGATCTGAAACCCTTTGTGCACCAGTTTGCAGGAGGGACAGTTGTTCAATTTGCCAAATCATGAGCAAGAACATTACACATTTGGGGTGAATCTTTTTTTAAAAGCACCCTCCTTTTGAAAGGAAGCAGGAGAGCATTTGGAAAGTGCCAGGGTGTTGGCTAATCGTGATGACATTTGATTTGAGAGGTGTGCCACTTACAAAAGCAAAAAACAATTCTCGGAAAAGGGTGATGACTGACCGATATCCGCCGAAAGGATTTATACTCCAAGAAGGAAAGGTGTTCGGCCAGCTCCAGTGGTTCTAAGTGATCAAATAACAGAGAAGCTTTCCCCTTTTTCTTGGAAGCCTTCTTACGTTGAGTGACCCGTCTCATCCAGTCGTAGGACGGACTGTTAGAAAAACAAGAGTGGTGTTTATGGATTAGCGAAGGTGAAAAATCCGAACTTCACCCACTGTCACATTATCGCCATAAATTACGGAAGTTGCATTTTTATAGCACTTTTATCTGACCAACGCAAAGATCAAAGGAACAGCATGGCCAACAAAATATTTTTGTAATGTAGTCACTGTTGTGATGTGGAAAATTTGTACGCAGAAAAGACCCACAAGAGCAACGTAAGAATGGTCAGATAGTCTGTTCTGATATTGGTAGATAAATATTGCAGGAAACTAGGAATAGCATCCCTGTTCTTCTTCAAAACAATGTCTTGGAACGTTTTGCATCCGCCTAAGTAGGCAGATGGGATCTCAATGCAACACCTCCTTCAAAAAAACCCAGCCGCTCTGACAATGCAGCACACCGTCAGTGCCACACCACAGTGTCGGCCTGGATTTTGATGCTCAGGTCCTGGGGGGGAGACTTCAGCCCATTTCCTGGTGTCTCAGAAATTAAAGGGTTACCTAAATCAGACAGCCATCGACTAGATTGACCTGTTGTAAGAAGGATATTATTAAATTGGAAAGGGTTCAGAAACGATTTACCAGGATGTTGCCGGGAATGGAGGACTTGAGTTATAAAATTAGGCGGATAGGCTGGGATTCTTTTCACTGGAGTGTAGGAGGTTGAGGGGTGACCTTATTGAGGTTTATAAAATCATGAGAAATATAGATAAGGTGAATGACAAGGGTCTTTTTCCTCGGGTGGGGGAGTTCAGAACTAGGGGGCATATTTTGAAGGTGAGAAGGGAGAAAAGGACATGAGGGGCAACTTTTTTTACACACAAAGTGATTCGTGTGTGTGGAATGAACTGCCACAGAAAGTGGGGGATGCAGGTACAGTTACAATGTTTAAAAGACATTTGGATAAGTTCATGAATAGGAAAGGTTTGGAGGGATATGGGCTAAACGAGGGCAAGTTGGATTAACAAGGTATAGAGCTGGATGCACACAGCAGGCCAAGCAGCAAGAGAGGAGCAAGAAAGCTGACATCTTGGGCCTAGGTCTAGGCCCAAAATGTCAGCTTTCCTATTCCTCTGATGCTGCTTGGCCTGCTGTGTTCATCCAGCTCTACACTTTGTTATCTCAGATTCTCCAGCTCTGCAGTTCCTACTATCTCTGCAAGTTGGATTAGTTTAGTTTGGGATCACAGTCTTCGTGGACTGGTTGGACCGAAGGGTCTGTTTCCATGCTGTTTGGCTTTATGGCTTATGGCTTATGGCTAGAGCAAGTGGTCCTGTTGCAGAGCCAGCCTAGGTATGAATGCAATCGAGTGAATCCATGTGGAAAGTCATGGGTTTCTAGCCTCAATCTGGCAACTGGAACACAAGTAAACTGGCACTCAAATGCGGTCCTGAAAGGGTGCTACACATTCAGGAGCATTCTTTCAGATAAACCCCATTTTTGGGGCGACATGGTGGCTCAGTGGTTAGCACTGCTGCCTCACAGCACCAGGGACCTGGGTTCAATTCCACCCTCGGGCGACTGTCTGTGTGGAGTTTGCACATTCTCCCCGTGTCTGTGTGAGTTTCCCCTGGGTGCTCTGGTTTCCTCCCACAGTCCAAAGATGTGCAGGCTAGGTGGGTTAGTCTTGCTAAATTGCCTATAGTGTTCAGGGATGCCTTGATTAGGGGAGATGGGTCTGGGTGGGATTCTCTGAGGGTTAGTGTGGACTTGTTGGGCCAAAGGGCCTGTTTCCACACTGTAAGGATTCTATGATTTGAAGGACAGAAGCCTTTTCCTGGTATCCTGGCCAACACTGATCCTTCAACCAATATGTGAAACAGCAGATCTGATCAATTATTTCACTGCTATTTGTGGGAACTTGCTGCGTATTAGATTACATTAGAGATGACATGTCCTTACACAAGATCTGGTCATAAACAGATGCTTCAATACATTTGAATATTACTCACCATTTTGATGTCAGAAAGATTTTACAATCACACTGGGAGGAAGGGGTCACAGCAAGAGTGGGCAGAATATTTAGACAGTTACACATGGGTCTTTTTAAATGCCTTAATATTAACACTGGGAACATTTATAACATGGATCTTCCAATGATGTGATAGTTAATCCCACCATCTATTAAACCAGTCCCACAGAGGTCAACAAGGGGCAAAACTCTAGCCTCATCACAACAAGTTTCCAGGTGGAAAATGAGCAGAAAGTATGATATGTTAAGGGGCCCTAACAGACTTTGAAATATCAATTACTTTAGACATCATTTAGGCATCCTTGGCATCTATTTTATACAGACATTTGGTCCTTTGAATATGTCAATAAAGAGGCCTAACATCCATTTTAGAACCAAAAGTGGAAATTCGACCAATCTGCAGGTGCAATCTTCAACAATTATACTTGCAATGTTTCGATAAGAGCATGCTAATACTGACAAGTTTTCTCCCAGTTTGGAGATCCCTACATACAAGCCCCCCAGAATTAGGAGCAGGCGTAACCAACTTGGCCCCTTGAGCCTGCTCTGCCATTTGATTTCCTCACATTCCTCCCCATCCTCATCAAGAATCTATCCACCACTGTCTTAAAAATATTTTTTTAGAAGATCTCTGCTTCCACTGTCTTCTGAGGAAGAGAGTTCCAAAGGTCCACAACCATTTGAGAAGAAATATATTCTCCTCATTGCTGCCTTAAATGGGTCCCCTAATTCTCAATTCCCCCATCAAATGAGTCATTGTTTACACATGCGCCCTGACATGACCCCTCAGGATTTTTGTGCTTCAATCAAGTTGCCTCTTATCCTTCTAAACCCCAGTTGATAGGAGTCTAGCCTGCCCTTTCTTCATAAGACAACACACCCTTTTTATTCCAGAGATAGTAGGAACTGCAGATGCTGG